GCTGCGGGGGTTAACGTGGGCCCCACCCCAGGTGACCGTTGCAGGGTGGCCGCTAGGAGCTGCTGCAGCCCGCGATCCAGGAGCCAGGCGCGCCCCTTACAGCTGCCATCAGGCGCCCCCCATAGGTTGGCACCCTGGGCTAGCCCTTGCCTTAATCCGGCCCTGCTCCTACCTTGCAAAGAGACACGCTGCTTTCCTGAACCAACCCTGGGCTCCCCTCCCCCTCTGCTCCCCGCTAAACGATCCCGCCCTGCTCCCCCACTTACCGCAATACCCCGGCGTCCCACACACCGTCTTCATGGTGTCCTGCTCATCCACGATCTTGGACAACCCAAAATCGCCTGGCAGGGGTCCAAGGGGCAGAGAGAGAGACAAGTCAGAGGAGAACGGGGAGCATGGCTCTGAGATGTTGATTTTGGGGCACGGAGCTCACTGGTGGGGCAGACGTGGGAATGTCTCAGCAAGGAAGCGGCCTGCGCTTAGCCCCTCCGGCGGTCCAGGAAACGGGCCAGTGGGTGGATATTTTGTAAATGAGATTGCTCCCAAGAATAGACCCGGCGCATGGCACCGATCTCTCCTCTTGTAAACAACCCGGGAAGGCCTCAAATGTCTGATCGCTCACACCGAGGGGAGACAGGACTGTTGCATGTCCCACAATCCACCAGAGGAGGCTGTGAAGGCTAGGACTATAACAGAGTTTAAAGAGACGCTAGATAATTTCATGGAGGTTAGGTCCATAAAAGGCTATTAGCCAGGGGATAAAATGGTGTCCTTGGCCTCTGTTTGTCAGAGGCTGGAGAGGGATGGCAGGAGACAAATCGCTTGATCATTGTCTTCGGTCCACCCTCTCTGGGGCACCTGGTGCTGGCCACTGTCGGCAGACAGGCTACTGGGCTAGATGGACCTTTGGTCTGACCCAGTACGGCCGTTCTTATGTTCACAGCCAGCACGGGGATTCCAGCTGATTGGCTGAAGTGAGGGTATTCAAAGAAGCCTCCGAGGTACGAATTCAATGGGAGGTGTCATGGTTATGAGGGATGGCCAGCAGCATGCGGACTAAGGGGTTAACTGTACCTAGCCAGGTAGCAGTCAGCCAATAGAAATGCAGGTAAGAATTTCAAACTGAGACAAAGGAATTTTGGGGCTTTCCTGCCTTTGTCTCTGAGCCAATTTGCTCTGGATACGGAGGGAGACAGAAGACATGTCTCTTTCCAAGAAAAAGACTCTTCATAATGTGTAAGTAGGGTAAAGTTTAGATAAATTGTTTTCTGTTGTGGGACTTTGGATCTGATGTCTGTGCTGTTAGAAATGGTTTTTTCCCCCTCTTTTGTAAGTAACTTTTGAGCCCATGGGAAAATTCCCCATGAGTTTATTAATTGGTGGCTCTTACCATCTAGCCAATCCAACCATGCTTGTAACTGTGGTTTTGTTTTGATAATAAACGTTTGTTTTCTTTTTTTTCCTAATTAGCCCATATTATTTCATTTTTGTGTTCTGGTTTTATTTTAGGGGAGAGATTTCCCAACTGATCTCTTCCCTGTTTTTTCCTACAAATACTTGAGTGGTGGCAGCGGGTTTTTATTCTCCAAAGTCCAGGCATTAGGATTTTGGGGGGAGTTTTGTACCAAAGCCTGGAAAGATAAGGACAGCATTCTATCCCTTCTCTCCTCTGCTCCTTGGGCACTACAGTCCCACATCGCCCCCTTCCTCTGTGCTGGCTGAGAATTTAGTTGACTCTGCCTCTCCGAACTCAAGAGCCAAATTCCCATTCCCTCTCGGACTGATCTCCCACCAGCTGCCTCTGCACAGGAAACCCCAACACTGCCTCCTCCCCCAAACGTACCGATTTTGAGAGGGGCGTCCGGGGACAGGTCTGCATAGAGGAGATTCTCTGGCTTCAGGTCCCGGTGGACCACTCCGTTTTCATGCAAATACTGGAGAGCGGGAAAGAGAACAGCAAGAGAGAGAGAAAAAGCCAACTCAGGGTCAGACAAAATTCAGCAGTTACAACGGATGATTCAGCAGTGCTCAGAGATTAATTACTCGGCACCAAATCTTGCAGCGTTTGCTACAAGAGGGCACAAAAACCCGTTTTCATTGGGAGATCAGCCTTGGAAGGCTTGGCAAAAGATTTGTGTCTTGAAGACTCACAACACACCCCCGTAGATTTCCTCCCCCGCCCCATGCTTAATTTCTGTTAAACAGAATACGAGAGTCCATAGAGAGAACTATTCAAATACAAAGGGCTGTTCTCTCTTTTTTACATGTCAGGAGGCCTGGGGGCAGACAAAAATCAGGCCCCAGGCTCAGTCCAGTTTGAGGTAGCGTTTTCAGCAGACTAAGACAGCTGACGATTAGAACATTGTTGCAACAGCGGATTGTACTTTGCCCAGCTGACAATTAGAACATTGTTGCAACAGTGGATTGTACTTTGCCCGCACAAGCGCTCCTAGCCAGCGGGAACACCCCAGTCACCAGGTGTTAATCCACAGGCCACAGACATAGCGAGAAGTCAGTAGATATTGTGCCTGGCATGTATCTAACAATTTTAGAAAGGGATCAGCAGAGTGTGAGGGAGGTTCTTAGAGATCTTGGGCATGGCTTGCAGTACGGTGAAGATATAAGAGGGGAAAATGGAGCCTTAGGGAGCGAAGAGGAGACGGGATATGGCAGGGGAGACGGCGGATGATAGCAGAGGAAGGTGGAATGCTAAACACACTACCAGTGAGCAGACACCACGGCCCAGTTGCTGGGGTCCTATCCTGAATCCAGGGGACCCAGATTCCATCCACTGAGCTAGCAGGCCACTTTGCTTCCCTTCCTTGCCCTTTCCCTTCCAGTTTGAATGGCAGGCTCGGCTGCTCACGTAGTGTATGTACAGCACCTAACGCAACGGGGCCCTAACGCGTCTGTCGGAGAAATAATGGCACCTGGCCTGTGTTCGGAATGACACGGCAAAATGTTCCCTTTGCATTGTCTCGATCGGCCATTGTATTACGTTGTACTGATCCGCTAACGGAATTGGACGCACTTCCTGCGAGCACAGACGTCTTTGGTCCCCTTAACTCTGACCCACGAAGCAGCTTCCTTTATAAAAGCCTGCAGCCGATTGCCTTGAACCCCCCCCCTTGGCTGACTACCTTCCTCCAGGGTAGATTGCTGCTCTCTCCCTGCCTACGGGGCCTGAATTTCCGCACAGGCAGATTTTCCGTTTGGAGTTTCCATTTTTAAAGCCGCCGTTGCCATGGCGACTCTCGGCCACTCACCTTTCCTGTCGAGAAACGGCGACCTTCCTGATACAAATCGGAGGTATTTTCTCGCCGCCTCTTGGCTCCTCCCCAGCACACGGCTCTGAAGAGGCAGCCCCTCCAAACAATGCCCTCTGGGCTGCGTTGGGGGCCGTGGAGATTTGTCAGCGGCGCAGAATACAGAGCAGCTCCCTCGGCTTGGCAGATCTGGCGGCTGTTGTGAACTTGCTGGAAACAGAGTCCTGGAGGACCAGCTCCCCCAGCGCCTATGTGCCAACTCACCATCCGGCCTCTCTTCCGGAAGCCCCTCGCAAAGTCCTTTTAATGGGCTGCCCCTTTATCCCCGGGGTCAGCACAGAAACAATCCCATTAAAGAGACCCTGTAGCATGCGCCTAGCCATCTGTGTAGGAATGCACCTGGAGGAAAGCAATGTTTCCTCTAATAGTTTCCATCCACGTGAGGAATAAATTTTGTTCTGCGCACTGAGGCATGTGTGGAAGTGCACCACCAGTAGAAACCCAGGCTGCCAGCTGTGGACAACGATGGGTGCTTGGCCAATCAGCTGAGCAGCAGCTGAATCTCTCCTGGGTAGGTGCCCCAGCATTTAGCTGACAGGGAAGACTGGAGGAGAGATGGGCATAGACTAGAGCAGGGGTTCCCAACCGGGGGTACATGTACCCCCAGGGGGTATGAGAAGCTTGTCAAGGGGGTATGAGGAATATTTGGTAAATAACTAGATTATCCTAATTGAAATATTCCAAAAGCATTAGTGTTAGTGAAAAAAGTTGTGGATTCTAGAGTCTAGGATGTATTTCCTTTCATACTGAGTGGGGGGTACGGGAAGGTTTACTAAAGGCCAAGGGGGTACAGGGACCGAAAACGGTTGGGAACCCCTGGACTAGAGGATCCAATATTCAGCCTAGGAGAGGTTGGGGAGCGAGCCCTCATGCGTCAGCAGCTGGCTAAGTTCTGGTTCTAGACGGTGCAACATTGGCGATGGTAGGAGATGGCTCATGCAGCCGTATTTTTAGACAAAGGTTGGTGAGTTATTAGTCACTAGGTAAACTGAGGCACAGAGTTGCCCAAAGTCTCAGAGAGATAGGTTTAGAACCCAGGCGTTCTGATGGCTTGTCTCTCGGTCTAACCAGCAGGCCATTGGTTCTTAACCATTGCTGTACAGGAACCTCTTTCAATTAAACTCTTCCCCCTCCTCTGTTATTCTTGGGGGTCTGGTGGTCACTACCTGGGTGAAACTTTTTTGTCTGAAACTTGTTTTTTGGGGGGCAGGAGGGAGTGAAAAATGCAGGTCAAGTGAAACATGGTGTGAACTCATGTTGAACTCCCTCCCCCCCCCAAAAAATTATTCGAGTCCGGGGGAGGAGAATGAAACATTTCCATTCAAAACCACTTAAAATTATTCGAGTCCGGGGGAGGGGAATGAAACATTTCCATTCAAAACCACTTTGTGTTTTGAATTTTACATCAAAGGTTTTTAAAAAACAGTTGTAAAAAAGAAACAAAAACCCCACGCTTGCCACAAGTCCCCTCCCCCACAACTTTTTCCGTTGCATCAGTTGTTTGCCCAGGTCTAGAGGGTCACGATCCCGCGACACCTGCCCATGACCGGCAGGGACTGGCCGAGGCAGAGAGGCCAAAGTGCTGGAGAAAGATAAAGACGCTGGCAAACTTACTGACACCGCTTCTAGGATCTGCTTGACCACATGGGCTGCGTCTCTTTCACTGTAGAATCCCCTCTCGACAATCCTGTAAGTGGAAGACAGCAAAGAGGTCACAAAGAAACCTGAGCACAAAGAGACCTTTTTGCACTACAAGGCTCTTCCTTTCTAAACCACTTTTTTCTGCCCAAGCCAGATCACGCCTGGACACAGGGCTGGAAGAACAAAGGGTTGATTTCAGAACCTCGAAAAAAGTTTGTGCCCGCCCATCCAGTGAACTCCCCTTCCCTAATGGAAACTCAAACAGGATCCAAAGCAAAAGACGTTCTCTCCCGCCTCCCCCAATAGGCCAAGCCACGCCATTTCTAACCTTCCAGAGAGGCCCTATTATGCAGATCTCTTAATAGTAAACCCCAGCGCTTTGCTGTTCCCGGTTGGAAACGTACTCCGGGTGCGGGTGGTTAAAGAATTAGGCTCTGTGTCCTAAGCAGTTTCCTGAGTCAGCTGGTGCTTTGATCCAGGAGATGCAAAGCTGGTAATTCAGCCACTCACACCCCCTTCTATCCCCCATGTTTTCACAGGGGCTAGAGGTGTCTCCTTTTATGAAGAACTAGAAGGTTTACCTGGGGTGCTCAGGTCCTTAACTCAATTAATTTTTTGGGGGGGGGTGGGAAATAAAATGAAAATGTTCAGGCTCCATTGCAATCACTGCTCCGGGGTGGGGCTGGAGAGGAGGGGGTCAGTATCAAGCTGCCCCGGGAAGAGAGGACAGCCCCAGCCCTCTCTCATTGCAGTAACTTGGGGCCAGGTGAGAAGCACCTCTCCATGGCTGCTGTAGCTCCACTGGGCACAGCTGGGGGAGGTTCATCTGCCCCCTGCACTCAGGGCTGGCTTTAGGCCGATTCGCCTGATTCACTCGAATTGGGCCCCGTGCCTAAAAGGGCCCCGCACCCTGAAGCAAGAGGGCCCCGCGCCCTAAACCCGGAAGTGTGCTGGTGTGCCGGGCGCGCTGCGGGAGGGGATGTCGGCTCCGGAGGAGGAGCATGGTGGCTTCTGTGCGCCGCGAGAGGGAGAGTCGGCCCCTGGGTTTGGCCGGAAGGTGGGACTCTGCCCTGTAGCTGAGGATTTAAAGGGGTTTGCTGCCGGGGCCCCATCGAAACGGTTCGAATTGGGCCCTGCACTTCCTAAAGCCAGCCCTGCCTGCACTTCCCAGCCAGAGTGAGGAACACAATCCCATTCCAGGCATAGCCCATTGTCCGGGCACAACCAACCCCTGCCCTTCCGGTAAGTTATGATAAGAGGAAGCTGCATCCCAAATGGAGAGGACCTAGTGCTTACAGTTTGGGAGGCATCCTTGAACAGACAGACAGAAGGACGGATGGACAGTCAGACAAACCCTCTCCTATATATAGAAGATTTGCAGGGTAAAAGCCTGGCTGAGTACCTGTCAAAGAGCTCTCCTCCCGTCACTAGTTCAAGGATGAGCGCAATCTCCGAGGGCGTTTCGAAGATCTCCTTCAGTTTGATCTGAAAAGAACGGGAACGGTTCACTTGCAGCCCGGCCCCCTGGCCAGGACTGGGCCGTTCTTCCAACCACGTCAGTTCCCAGCCAGACACAGCGGGAGCGTTCCTCTAGCCCTGCACTCACTGTACGTCCATTTATTCCAAGAACAGGTTAATTCATTCACGAGAGGCACAGAGCGGAGGCTCGTCGGGGGGGAAGAGGAATAAATAGATGCAGAACAGATTGCATCGCTGGGACAAGTTTATTATTATCATAGCAGGACGGCTGGCGGCGTATATACCTAATTTTTTATTTATTTGAACATGGCATTTTCACTGTTCAGTATGGGTTTGCCCACTTAATCAGGCATTAAAAAAAAAACCAACAACTGCAAATTAGGGCAGGGAAACAGACCAGCATGCCCTGCATTTACTCTCTCCAAATCCTGAAGCTCGCTAGTTGTAAGTGGAATTCACTGTATCCTGTGGAAGCATTTTCATTTAGCAGCCGCTCCGCCCCTGCCAAGCTCCCTTCCATTCCGCCGCTGATTCTGCTGATTGGAGACTTTTACCCCTATGGGTGAAATCCTGGCCCACTGGAATTACTGGGAACTTTGCCACTAGCTTTGGCAGGCTCAGAATTTCAGGGGAAGCTCTTGGATCGGATTCCAAGGGGAGCTGGGGCCTTGTGCCGAGAGGCGTGAGACGTCCATACCTCTCAGCCCCGGCACTGCGCAGACCTAGCTCCCGCGTCGATGCCTTTCAACTGATGGGCGAATGTTTTCCGTTTTAAAATTATGCCAAACGAGACTCCCTGCTTTGATCCTTTGTGCTAACGCCGCCCATGTGGGATTAACAGGGGCTCATTCAAAAATGCACCCCGTGCATTTTTTTAATTGGGGGGAAACAAACCCCAAACATTTCACGGTGCTTAAGACTTTGGTGACACTGTGAATTTCATGGGGTTTTCATCATTGCCAGCGTGGTGTGTGAGATGCTGTGGTATCGTACTGTATTCTAATACTACTCAGGGAAATGGAATTTTTACAGTGACAGGAAACTCCCTCCCTCCCCACCCCATAGTGCTGTAGGGCAGTGTTTCTCAACCGATGGTACAAGCACCCTCAGGGGTACTTGAGAGAAGTCTGGGGGGGTCCGTCAACACACCTGAAATCTGGAGAAAACTGAATTTTTGTTTTAAGTTTTACAGCGTTTTATTATATTCGTACTTTTTACACCCCAAAATTTCATCACCTGCCCGGTTACGATTAAGTTGTTTAAACAAATGTGTTGCAATGGTAAAAAAAAATTGTGTCTGAAAACTGTAGGTACTGGGGGTAATTATAATTTTTTTTAAAGGGGTACTTTATAAAAAAAGGTTGAGAGAGACTGCTGTAGGCTGAGTCTACATGATGGGGCTATACTGGGTCATGCCACTCTAGCTCCTCCAGAGCAAATGTGGCCTTTTACTCTATTCCAGCACGTGACATGAGGGAGGAGGAGACGCGAATTCTCCTTGGTCCGAGGCTTGGATAGCTCCTTGTGTCAGTTACAGCAGCCTGGGTGCTGCTCTAACTTGTGCTCTGGTTCCCACCAGGGGAAGCACACACATCGATGGAGCATTGCATTCTGGGCCTAGCCTTGATTCACGACCCAGATCATACACTGTAAATCTCATTTTATGAGGAGTAAGGGTTATTTCGAGAGAAGAATTTTCTCTCAAAATAACCGCGTCCTAACTGCGTTTGTTATTTCGAAATAGTACTATATCGAAATAGCGCCATAATGCGAATATGCAAATGAAGCACGGGATATTTAAATCCCAGCTTCATTTGCAATTTTGAATCTCTTCATTTGCATCCCTCTCTCGAAAGAGGGTGCAAGTGTAGACATATCCTTAGTCTCTATGGGTGCATCTACATAGCACCCGTACCTCGAAATAAGCTACGCAATATGCGCTATGCAAATTGATGCTCTATGCAAATTGCGTAGCTTTTTTTGAGGTAATTTTGAAATAAAGTGCCACATTTCAAAATAAAGCACTATTCCGACAAGTTCCTTAACCCTTAACGAGGGTTACAGGGGCGCCGGAATAGCACGCCCATTAATTTGAAATATAATTCGAAACAACGGGCGCATTTAAAGACGCAGAATTGCTATTTTGGGATACTTCTGGTATCCCGAAATAGCCCTGCTTTGTAGATGTAGCCGAAAGTGCCACAGGACTACTCATTTTTTAGGTTGTTTGGTGGCGAAGGAAGCAGAAAAGAAATAATATTTCCCAAAGATATTTAAAAAAAATGATACTAAATGAGATTGCTCGGGTTGTTTGGTGGCAAAGGAAGCAGAAAATAAATAATATTTCCCAAAGATATTTTTAAAAAATGATACTAAATGAGATTGCTCGTGTTGACCCTTTGTGCAAATGCAGCCAACATGGGCGTGACAGGTCTCATAAAAATGCATCACATGGCATTTTTCTCAACGGAGAAAAAAACCCCAGAGAATTTCACAGTTCTTAAGACTTTGGTGACACTATGAATTTCACGGGGCTTTAATCACTACCTAGAGTGCCTGGCGGCTGAGACGCTGGGGCGGCTTGCTGTATTTTAATACTACGCAGCAGTGCTATAATTTTCCTATTAACTTCAAAAGTTTACAATCCTATTATGGTCTGCACTTGAAGCCGGTGCTGAATGACAGCGAGAAGCGCACGGATGTTGTAAATAATGAAACGAAACGTCATTTGAACTAGAGAGCGAGCAGACCCTTCCCAAAGTCATTGTGATTTAAATACTAAAGCTGCCCAATTGGTTATGTTTGTGCCGCTGGCTTGTAGCTGCTTCTAGTTCTAGAGTGAGCAAATTAGCCTCGCCTACAGACAACTCATCCCCCCCCCGACCTGAAGCAAATCCTTTCTAGCAGCCACACACCACACCTCAGATACACTCCCCCCGAACTTACATCTGCAACAGACCCTATTGCTCTCTCTGTCCACACATCTACACAAGCAACACATACACACGACCTAAGCACATCAGCCACCTCATCAGGGGTGTGTCTAAACTATATGGCTCCGTAGATGGAGCCATGTAGATGAGGCTCATCGGCAAAGGGAAAGGAAGCCGCGATTATTTAAATCGCGGCTTCCTTTAAATTTACATGGCTGCCGTGCTGAGCCAACAAACAGCTGATCAGCTGTTTGTCGGCTCAGCGCGCTAGTCTGGACGCTCCCGCGCCGACCTGAAAGCCCTAAGTCCTTAGTTCGGATTAACTGTTACTCCTCATTCCAACTAAGGACTTAATTCGGATTGATGACCTTCTGAGGTCTTTTCCAGCTCTATGGTTCTATGATTCTATGATTAACTTTAAACTGCCGCGTGTAACAAGAAAGCCAAAAGGAGATGAAAATGCTGGGACCAAATCCGCCCCCGGCATCACTCCACTGACTCTGGGGATGGATTTTGTCCTTTGTTTATCTCTCCCTCCATTCCCTTCTACTCAGGGTATGTCTACACTAGCTCATTAATTCGAGCTAGGTAGGCAAATCAGGCAACCGGAGTTTCTAAAGGGCCACCAGGCTCCTCCTTGTTTTCTCTGGAGTTCGAAAATCAGGGGAGGGGTTCAATCCTCCCCAGTGCTCAGCCCCTGCACCCCAATGGGCACGGTGGGGCTTGGCCCTGGGCAGCCTCCGCAGTGTGAATGCAGTTACATGGAAACTGACAAGAAGGTCTCTGACTCCTTCGGTAATTATATCTGGTCCCCCGTGTTACAAATTGTTCCAGTTCAGCTGCCAGGATCCTCCGAGCGCCGAGTTATCTAAATGCTGCTCTGCTCCCGCCGGGGAGTGGCAGACAGCACAGCACTTGGCCTGACTTTATCTTCCTCTGCAGGATCCGTTACCAGGCATTCATTCGCGTGCCTCGATAGAAATCACTCACTGAATGGAAACCCTGGGGGCGGGGGAGTCTAGCGGCCTCACGGTCAGAGCTGGAAAACCTGACGTCCCTGGAAACTCCCACCTGGGCTGATTCCCATCCCAGCCTTCCCGCGGCAGCGGGTAAAGGGAGCTCCGTGCGCTGGGCTTCTGGTGGGTGTTCTGAATGAGTCCTTGAAAATCCAGTTAAGGCCGCGTGGAGCAGGGGGCCGGCCACAGAGCCCTGAAGCAGGAGGGGGGCTTCCCAGAGCCCTGCAGAATCTGCT